GTACTGATGGGATGAGGTGACATCGTCCCATTGGGTGTGGAGAGGGAAGTATCATATCGAGTTTGAATGACTCCTGGATACATGTCTTGAGCAGGTGGAAAAATATGAAACTATTAATTGAGATTTATAATTCAGAAATCATTGCTAGGGTTTTATTTCTTTATTTAACTTTTCATGGTGATTTGAATAAAAGTTTTCAGAGCCAGTTGGTTTTCTGTTCAATAGTTCGTATACATTTTGTTTTGAGACATTGACAACAATCTCCCAGAATGGAACAGGGCTCTTTGCCCTTCCTCCCTCCGTGTCCCTTTACCATTCATTCTTCTTTCCTATCCCTTCTTGCCTTCTGAACTTTAGCCTTAAGCAAATGCTGCCCTTTCAATCTTGTATAAATGTTGGAAAAATTAGGAAAACGAAGTGAATTCATGTACATAGTGGCTATTGCACATAAGCTATATATTACACATAATAGATGTTACCCTTCAAAATATAATCATATTACTCATCATAATATAATCATATTACCCATTGGATTGTTAACTGAAAGGTCAGCAGTTTGAAACCACCAGCCACTCCTCTGCAGAAAGATGGGGCTTTCTACTCTTGTAAAGAGTTATACTCTTGGAAAATCACAGGGGGCAGCTCTTGTCCTAAAGGGTCACTGAGTCATGATCAATCGACTTGATGGCAGAGAATTTGTTGAGTCATGTGCAGAGATCATGTTAATATTTTCTGTATCATTCAAATTTTTTCCTTTGTACAATGGAAACAAGCACTTTGAATGGAGTTTAATTTAGGGCATTAAGATGGAGATATTTAGTAAGAAGCTGAAACATGGCCCACTTTTTAACACACATGTATTTAGTACATATTATGTGTGCTGGGTCAGGGCATTAAACACTGCATAAGACATAGTTTTTACCCTTAAAACAAATACCCTGTTTTCCTGAAAATAAGACAGCGTCTTATATTAATTTTTGCTCCCAAAGATGAGCTAGGTCTTATTTTCAGGGGATATCATATTTTTCCATGAAGAAGAATACGGTACACAGTTATTATTTATTGTTTTATTAAAAGAGACCTTGCACTTCTTGTCTGCTCTGGCTGTGCTGTGACCAACAGTGAGCTGCGGGGCAGCGCCCGCTGCTACGGTCCAAAGTCCAGAGTTATGGTAGCTTCGGGGGCCTTATTTTCAGGGAGGTCTTATTTTCGGAGGGATGCCTTCTATTTCAGCAAGAGGCAAAACTGTAAGTAGGTCTTATTTTCAGGGGATGTCTTACTTTTGGGGAAACAGGGTTATCCAGTGTGTAAAGAGAGGAATACGATATGGAAGGATTGTGAGGGCCTATTGGACTGGACAGGGGGCCTGGTGGTACTATTAGGTACGTGTCCGATTGCTAACTGCAAATTGGCAGTTCAAATGCAGCAGCTGCTGTGTGGGAGAAAGTTGGTGTGATCTACTCCCATGAAGATGTATGTCCTTGGAAACCCCACACAGGGTCGCTATGAGTCGGAATTGACTTGGCGGCCTTGAGTTTGGCTTGTCCTTTGGTACTGAGGGGTGATGGGAAAGCATGGCAAAGAAGAGCTCAGTTTGGGTGCTCGGCATAGTCTTCACAGGATAACAGATATTGCCACGTGAACACAGTTTTTGCAGACAGCGAAAGATGAATATGACTGATACTCTAGGTAAAGAGAACAAAAAAATGTACTGAGGTGTGAAGGAACATAGATCCCTGAGTGAATAACAAGCCATTTTTCCTGGCCGGGATACAGAGTGAGTGAGTTTGCATGTGCAACTGTGGACCTATGACCTTGAGGTTGTGTTTGGTGGTAGGACTTAATCCAGATTGGGGTTTCCTCCTTAAAAGTATATGAGATTACTGCTTATAAGAACAATTCTCAACTAGCAATGCAACTGTTCAGGAAGTCTAGTCGTAGAATTTCATGACAACTTCAGAGGCAGTAACAGAATTGCCAATTTCATTTTTTTTTTTAAGGCATTTCTTTCCAGGTTTGGGAGACCCAGGAGCTGGAATGAAATGGTACGTAGACTAAATAGCTCATCTTACCAAAGTTGGTTTTCCGTCAGTGCATCTACTTACTATTCAACTTCCCAGATAGACTTTTTTTTTCCTCATCAAGGAGTGGTCACGCAGGAGTACAAGAATTACATTTTGAATGTAATTCAATAATATAGTTCTTAACTTAAAAACAAATATAGGTAGTGGGTAGTGAGTTACAATTGTGAATGTAAAATTGTTTCAGAAAACAGAAATAATTTTTTGACACTGTCATTTATGAACTGTAGAAGACATGGGCGTCGGAGTCTCTTTTTCTTCCTCATCTTTCACCTCCCTTTCTCATCAGCCTGCCTTGTCTATTGTGAAGTTGGGCTTCTAGCCAGAGTGTGTTCTCCAAGTCCCTGCAGAGCCTGATTGCAGTCAGATTGGTAGATCTCCCAGTGGAGAGAGCGGATAAAGAGTGCCGGTTCGGAAAGCAATGTGAAGTGTATGACGTTTTGTTGAGTGAATTAGTTGATTTATCTCACCAAATACCTCCTTCAATCTGAGCAAAGGCTTCTGGTTATTCTGCTAGTCTGTGAAACATTTCAGCAATAAAGCAGTGCATACCATGGACTAAAACTTTATTTGCATAAGACATGGTGCTAGGAAACCATGAAAACAAATACAATTTTTTTT